CCCCCCCGCTCCCCACTTCCCAAAAAAGATTAGTGTCCTCTGTGTCTCTCTCTCTCTGTCTGTCCCTGTTTCTTTTTGCTTTGGTCTATTCCAAGTTGTCTTTTTTTTTTTTTTGGGTTATTGTTGGTTTTCAACGAATCTCAAACTTGAATGATCTGAATGATTTGGTGATGCTGCATGCAGCCAGGCTGACCACTTCTGGCCTGTGATGAGCAAGACCGCAGGCGTGAGCCAGATGTTTTCGTTAGGAATCCAGTCATACCATGTGGGCAGTGTGACCTTGAACCAGGTCTTGTTAGTTTTAGAATGGGGGTGATAATCCTGGGGCTGAGATTTGTGGTGATGAAATGAGATACTTTAAGAAGTGCTCAGAATTTGATGTAAGCAAAGCCTGCCTCTTAAGAGGTACATAGGAGATGGAAGCTAGTGACATGGTCCCCTGGCGCCGGTGTCATTATTTATATGTGGGAGACAGACATCCTCCCCTGCCTTCACTTACCCCCTGTCTTCTGTGTGCCTTTCTTAGCGGGCCATCCTTCTGCAGATGTTTTGAAATACACGTATGAGGATTTCAAAAAGGGGGCCTCTGATACTTATGTGACATACCTCATAAGAATGGAGGAAAGAGGACGCTCTCAGGGCTTGTCTCAAGTCTTGAAATATGAAATCGATGTGGGGAATGAGTCCACCACCCTCGGCTACTACAATGGGAAGCTAGAACCTCTGGGCTCCTATCGGTAATGTCTTCATTTCTAAAGGTTTGGGGCGGAGTCTGGTGCCAAAACAAACAAACAACCTCTAGGTGCCTGTGGCACTAGACCATATCTTCACAGACTGATTTTGCTCTTTGTCACCTGACCACAGGGCTTGTGTGGCTGGCTTCACCAATATTACTTATCACCATCAAAACGATGGACTCATCAATGGTGCTGAGAGCTATGTGTCCTTCAGTCGCTACTCGGAGGCCGTTTTCCTGCCTCAGGATCCAGGTAGAGAAGAAACCACAGCCCTGCTACCAATCCACACCACCTGTGTACCTCTGGGGCCCCAAGGGGGTTAGAGTTCCTGGCTTTCTCCTCTCACCACTTGAGATGACCGTTGGCCCTTGAGCTCAGCTCAACTTTGACCTTTAAGGTCTCCTGTCTCCAGAGTCCCTTCTCTAGTGGCTAGACACACTTCTAATTTTCAGACTGTTCACTCTTTGAATTGTACTACAGCTGTGGTCAGCCCATGTGCCAGGTACACAGGGCGACTGTGTCTGCATCAGAAGGAGCTAAGGAATAGCCTTGTCCAGCCCCCCTTGTAGCCACTGCTAAGGCCCAGAGAGGGGAAGTAGAAGTAGCTTGCTCAGGGTTACACAGTGGCTTAGAGGCATGTCTGGCACCCTGGCATTGGCTTTCTTGTGACATGCCCCTCCCAGGATTACGGAGTTGACTTAGGACCTGAGACTTGGACAGGAAGAGTAGCTTTCTGATGTTCAGCTAGTGGTGGACTGGGGCCAAAGAACCCAGCCCTTGAATGTCTAGGTGTAAGCCTGAAGAGAGATATTTGACTCTCTTGTATTTGTGGGGAGAGGGCCCCAGGCTGCTTGCTGGCACAGTATGTGGGCCTGCACGAACACCTCAGAATGCTTCCCCTTGGACTCTCCCTAGGCGTTATCTGTGGAGCCGTGTTTGGATGCATCTTCGGTGCCCTGGTCATCGTGGCAGTGGGAGGATTCATCTTCTGGAGGAAAAAAAGGTGATGCTGCATATGTTAATTCTAAGATACTTTTTAAAAACATTTTTATTGTGGGGAATTTCATACATTTCCAAAACTGGATGGAATAAAGAACTCCCACGCTTTCATCAGTGCTAGCTACCTCCGGGCCTACATTGTAGGATGCTTCGTCCAAATACAAGTCAGTGTTACACACTCATGTGAAGGAGGGCTCTAGCATGCGGCGTTGGCCTCACCTGGATACGTGCCCCATTTCCCACTAGCCGTTGCTAAGCTTAGCTTTTTAATGTCCTCATTGGAGGTATGGGGTTATAGCTTTCTCCATCTGGGGAAACTGAGGAGCGCTTCACACTCTGCCCTTTAAAAATTAATTAACTAACAGTTAATTATTAGCAGTCCTTTCTCTGTACAGTCACCCCGTGAGGTGAATCCACTTTGACAATAGCCTCATTTTGGGTGCTTCTGCCTGTCAGCCTGTGGGTGACTGCAATACACGAGTGCAGACTGCCGCCAGGTGGCAGCACTGAGTCCATATGGTTTCAAGTATTGGGTTAACATGTTGGAAAGGCTTCCCCAAAACAAGAGCATGAAATAACTAGTTTTGCTGTATCGTAGGATAATTCTGCCAAGAAGTTGCTTGAGTAAGATTTTCCCATATAAAAAAATAAAGGAAAATAAATGTACAGATTTGTATTTGTAATTTTGTAATTGTAATTTTCTGCTTTGGACCATTAAGCCTAAATGCGATTTAGTGTCTGAACTGAACCACCACTGCAGAGTGAGAGAAGGCATTTGGTAGAGTTGTAAAAAGTATCTAGTAAGCAGGGTACTGGTGGCTCACGCCTGTAATCCTAGCTATTTAGGAGTCTGAGATCTGGCAGCTGTGGAATAAAAGCCAGTCCAGGCAGGAAATTCTGTGAGATTCATCTTCAGTTAACCACCCAAAAATTTGGAAGTGGAGCCATGACTCAAGTGGTATCTTTGAACAAAAAGCTCAGGGATACCGCCCAGGTTCTTGAGTTCAAGCTCTACAACTGGTACATACACACAAAAAGTAGTGTCTAATGGGTATTTTTTCTCTTTCAAAACAGGAAAGACGCAAAGAATAATGACGTATCCTTTTCTCAAATTAAGTAAGTCTTTAAAAGTTCTGAGCTTTATTTTTAAGACATCAAGTCCTCCAATCTGTTCAGTGACTATCTATAGAATTTTTGATGGAACTTGATGTCAGTTTTCTTGATTGACGCACTTGGATATGAGTTCTTTTCTACAAGGAATCATTGGTGCCAAAGCAAGTGATTTCCTAGCCATTGCCTGAAATTTCACCAATAAATATGTATTTTGTGATTACAAAAAGTGGGTTATCAGAATCTAGGGATGAGAAGAATTTATTTAAAGACACAGATAGGATTAGTTATGCAACAGAATTAGTCTCTCTGTTTAGATTTCAGTGTCGTATAAATAATATTCTAATCTCTGTCCTACCTCCTGTAAGCTATATTTGGTTTTTGTTATTTTGAAAAAATGCTTACTTACCAAATGAACAAATAATTCTAATTGTTTTTTTTCCTCTTCTTTTCCTTTTGGTGATGAAGACCTAAAAAGTGAGTAACTTCCTTATTTTTTTTAAAGTTATATTTGCCTATTCTTTAGTAAGAAAAGACATTCTAGTAAGTTGTTTTGTTTCCGTAGATCCAAGTTAATCAGGGTGGAGAATTTTGAGGCCTACTTCAAGAAACAGCAAGCTGACTCCAACTGTGGGTTCGCTGAGGAGTATGAAGTATGTGTTTGTGATACTTTGCTTCCCATTTGTTCTGAATGCTGGCAAACGGTCTGTTTTTGTCTCTTAGAGTGAAGCTCTAGGATAAGAAGTGACCGTTTCAGAGGGAGAGTAGTAGCTTGTGTCTGGGCCCTGGGAACCCCAATGGTTGGCTATGAAGCTCTGCTCAACCCTTCCTTCTAGTGGATTTTATCTGTAACATATTGATACCTGAAGATTTTCCACAGAGGATTGGGAACTGTGCATTCAAGTTGGGGGACTGCTCACGAGAATAATTAGAAAACTGAGAAAGAACGAGACCCGATGGGACAGTCAGAGGTCTGGGGTGAGACAGCTGTGGGAGGGCTATGGGAAGCCCTGCAGGAGTTTTTCTTTCTCTTTTTTTTCTTAAAAAATGTGACATACAGCGGGGTTACAATGATGAAAGTCAGGTAATGAGTACTTTTCGAACAGTGTCTCCCTCTCCCTCATTTTCTCCTTCCCACCTCCCTGTAAGTTGTACAGTTCATTTGAACATGGCAAAGGAGTTTCCTGACCAGTTTCTTGGTACCCTTTTTTTCCCCCCAAACTAGCCCAGGAGCACCCCCGCTCATAATATCCATCCATGGGTTTCTGTGTGCTGCCCCTGTCTCATACCCCTGAAATCCTGCTCTCTGCTGTGAGCACAGTGCAGACACCACCTCCTCCGTGTTCCTGTCCCCATATTCCATTAGCATGACTTGCTCTGTCTTTAGAAGTGTCTCTGCTCAGACTGTCTCGTTTCACCTGAGACATGTGGCTTGCTCCACTATTCGGCATTTGTTTAATTCCTCCTTGTCTTTCCCCCTCCTCCCTTCTAGGCTGTAAACCCGGGAAGGCAAGGCCTGTCCTTTTTTCTCCTTTCTTTGTGCTGGTCCTGGGGCTTGAACCCAGGGCCTGGGTGTTGTCTGTAAGCTTTTTTGCTTGTGGCTAGTGTTCTGCTTGTGCCATAGCCCCCTGGTGGAGGCTTCTTCCTTCTTCCTTCTTCTGTCTTCTTTCCTTCTCCTTCTCTTCCTCCTCTTCTTCTCCTCTTCCCCTTTTGTCTTCATCATCATCTTTTTCTTCCCTTTTCTCCTCCTCTTCCTTCTTCCTCTTCCTCCTCTTCTTCTTTCTTCCTCCTCCTTCGACTCCTCTCCCTCCTCCTCCTTTCCCCTCCCCCTGCCAGGCTGATTTTGAACTATAATCCTCAGGTGACCTACCAGCTCCTGGCCCTGTCCTTTTATTTTAACCTCTGTATCAGTTTCCTAGGGCCACCATCCCAAAGTACTGTATGTAAGTGTGTAAGCTGGACTTGAAACAGTAGAAATGTCCTGCCTTGCATGTTGTCTTAGAGGCTAGAAGTCCCAGTCAAGGTAGTCCTGCCTCTCCCATGGCCTCTAGTGCCGGGTTTCTGTTCCAGCTTCTGGAAGCCCCAGTCCTTTCTTGGTTTTGTGGCAGCATCACTCTGGTCTTTGCCACACGTGTGTGACACAAGTGTGTCCTGGTCTCTTTGTTCCATTTACTCTTCTAAGGGCCCTATGCATATTAAGTTAAAGGCCCACCCTACCCCAGCATGACCTCATTCGAACTTGATGGCCTCTGCAGAGACTGAATTTCCTGAAGGGTCAAACTCTTAGATCCTGGGGCTTAGAGGTCAGCCTGTATTTCAGGGGAGAAGAGCAGATCCATTTTATCTTTACATTTCTACTTTATCCATCACAGTCTATACTCAATGTAAAGCCTGTGTGAAGATGAAAGAAACAACTCATGTATTTTGTTTGTAGGACCTGAAGCTGGTTGGAATCAGTCTACCTAAATACGCAGCAGAACTGGCTGAGAATAGAGGAAAGAACCGCTATAATAATGTTCTGCCCTGTAAGTGACTTTGTCCATACCACCTGTGCTTTGTTCTGTCACCTGCTGTCACATCTCTGGGGCGGGGCTTCTTCATACCCAGAAATTCAATCCATAGCCACTCTGCCTTCTCCTGTTGTTGCTGAGCTCCGGGCTTAGGGGCATTGCGCTGCATGTAATCCTCCCAGCAACCTCAGCAAGCAGGCCATAGAATTGCAGAATGTCTGTTCTGCAGATGAGGAAAAAGGCACAGAATGATGCGTGGCTTGTTCAAGGTCACACAGGTTAATAATGGCCAAACCAGGTTTTGGGTCTGGTGCATGTATCTGATTCAGAGAAAAGGCTAATGTCTGAATGCTCTCCCCAACCCCCTGCCCCTCTATTTTAGTTTGTATAGTTTGATGAAAATGAATAGAAGGGGAACAGGTTGGAAGGCTACTTTTTCTGTGCAGACACGTTTCTGATGGAGTGCGTTCTATAGATAAATATGAGTTATTCTTGGATACTTTTCTATTTTTGAGAATTCCCAGTGTCTGTCACCCAACCTACAGAGATGACAGCAAACAGTTTAAAGGGAGAATCAAGTATTACATCCCCCATTACAGGACATGTGAGCTCTCTTCCGTGACAAAGCCCATTGTGGTCTCATTTCTGGGGTGCAAGTAGGGTACTGTGAGGGGTGTCATTGTTCATAAATAGCCATGTGCTGATTTGGTAGAACTTGGAAGGCTTTGTGATTGATTTTTACACTAAGCCACTGCCGCTGCCTCCTCCTCCTCCTCCTTCTTCTCCTTCTTTTCTTCCTTCTTCTTCTTTTCTTCCTTCTTCTGTGCTTTCTGCTTCTGTGTTTCTAAGATTTCCCCTTCTAATGAGGACCTTTGTTCTTTTGATATCACAGATGACATTTCTCGAGTCAAACTTTCAGTCCAGACCCATTCAACCGATGACTACATCAATGCCAACTACATGCCGGTGAGTGGGCGCTGGCCTGCGGCAGGTACCCGTGGGTGGGGCGCTGTCTCCTGATGCTCATGTGGCCACTGTGTTTTGTTTTCAGGGCTACCATTCCAAGAAAGATTTTATTGCCACGCAAGGACCTTTGCCCAACACTTTGAAAGATTTTTGGCGAATGGTTTGGGAGAAAAATGTATATGCCATTGTTATGTTGACCAAATGTGTTGAACAAGGGAGGGTAAGTACCTTTCAAAACATAAATTTAATTAATTAGTTTTTTAAATTGTGGTTTGAAGGAGTATCTTAATACCTGTTTTATTTGTTTACTTATTTTTATACTGGTTCAAGCCCTCAGGGTCTGGGTGCTGTCCCTTAGCTTTTTGCTCAAGGCTGGTGCTCTACGACTTGAGTCATGGCTCCACTTCCAGCTTTTTGATGGTTAATTGGATTCATAGATTTTCCTGCTGGTAGTGTTCCTCACATCTCATCTTCCTGAATAGTTAAGGATCACACGTGTGAGCCACTGGTGCCCTGATATTGATTTTTTGAGACTTAGAGTATTATTATGTAGTTGAGGCTGACCTAGAATTTGTGACTTTCCTACCTCAGTCTCCTGAGTGTTCATCTATTTGCCTTTTTTAAAATTTTTGATGGTCGTGGAGTTTGAACTCAAATTTACACTTCATAAACAGGTCCTGTACCATTTGAGCCAGGCCTCCAGCTCTTCCTTTTGCTGGTTTGGAGATGGAGTCACAAAACTATGAGCTGGCCTCAAACTATAATCCTCTGGATCTTAACCTCCTGAACAGCTAGGATTACAGGCGATGGTCTCTATTTGCCATTTTAGAAAACACTCCTCCAGAGTGTTAGTATCTTCTGAGAAGTTTACTTTCTTTTTCCTCCCATAAACATTAAAAAAAAGAAATCTTAAGAAAATTATTCTGTTATTATGATCCTTTGAGGATGAATTTCAGTGTCTTCTATTCCTCTCTGTGGTGGAGTGGTATGTAGCAGGAGTTGGGGTAGGTCAGAGCAAGGTGCTGCTGGCCAGCTAGCCATGTGCGTCCTCAGCTCTGGCTTGGAAATCTCCAACTGGGCAGGTTCTGCCACTTGGTGACTTTCATACTTAGTTTTTAGAAACCAACCCTTTTCTTCAAGTAAAATCCAGACTTAACTCCTGCATAACTCTCAGCAGTCCCTCTCCCATGTGTGGCCTGGCTTCTCTCTGCCATTTCCACCGAAGACAACCTTCTGTCCAGTAATAAAACCCTACTAATAGGTGTGAAGAGAACAGAAAAAGACAGCAGGGCGCTGGTGGCTCATGCCTGTAATCCTAGCTACTCAGAAGGCTGAGGTCTGAAGATTATTATTCGAAGCTAGCTGGGAAGAAAAGTCCTTGTGAGACTCTTATCTCTAATTAACCACTCAAAAACTGGAAGTAGTTCAATGGTTCAAGTGGTAGAGTGCTAGCCTTGAGCACAAAGAGGCTCAAGGAAAGAGCCCTGGCCCCAAATCCCACAGCTGAAAGAAAAAAAACCTGTGCCTGAGGAGTGTGACTTAATATTGCTCCATGCATATGAACAACAACAGTAACAGTATAATAGTTACAGGACCTAATGTTACTCCATAATATATTATGCATAGAATAATAATGCTCATTATGTATGATACGACATAATATAATCACAGAGGATTGAGCCCAGGGCCCTGCACATGCTAAGCACAGTGAGCTACATCTCACATGAAGTTTAAAAAAATGTAGATTTGTTTCATTGATTTCTTAAGCCAGTGGCTCTCACACTTGTCTATCAGAATCACCTGGAGGATGATTCCGCCTCACTGCAAGTTCTTTTTTTGTTTTGTTTTGGTTGCTGATAGTGGGGCTGGAGCTCAGGTCTCTCACTTTCACTTTTGCTTAAGGCCTGTGCTCTACTACTTACTTGAGCCATGCTTCTACTCTGGCTTTTTGCTGGCTAATTGGAGGATAAGAGTCTCTCAGACTTCTCTGTCTGAATCGCCTTCAAACCATGGTCCTCAGATGTAAGCTTTCTGAGGAGCTTTCTCAGCATCTGGCCGAGAAGTGCCTTTCTCAGTTTGCAGGTGATCTGATGATCTGATCATTCTTGTCCAGGATGTCCTAGGTGGTGTCAGGAACCTGGCAACTTTACTTCCTTTAATGTTTGTTATTTTCATCAGCTGAGCGGACGTTCATCCAGCCCCAAGTGTGACGGGGTCCTGGGCGAGGGCGGGGATGGCAGAGGAGTCCAGTGGAGCAGTCATCAATGTTAGGGCCTGGAGGGTGGGCTCTGCCCTCAAGCCAGGGCCTTGTACTTGGGACCTTCTTTCTCACAACTATCGGCCAGACAAATGAAAATGTGGTGGTTGACTGTGTGCACAAACACCCTTGCGCATCTTTTATTCTGGATTTCAGGGAGAACTTAGAGGGGTGTCAAGGATTTTTTTTTTTTTTTGGTTGGTCATGGGGCTTGAACTCTGGGCTTGTGCCGCTGTCTTTGCGCTCTTCAGCTCAAGGTGAGTGCTCTACTGCTTGAGCCACAGCGCCACTTCCAGTTTTCTAGTGGTTTATTGGAGATAAGAGACTCACGGACTTTCTTGCCTGGGTTGGCTTTGAACTGTGATTCTCAGATCTCAGCCTCCTGAGTAGCTAGGATTACAGGCATGAGCTACCAGCGCCCGGCAAACTTTAGTTGTTTTTTTTTTTTTTTTGGGTCCAGTTGTGGGCCTGAACTCTGGGCCTGGGCGCTGTCCCTCAGCTCTTCAGCTCAAGGCTAGCGCTCTACCACTTGAGCTTCCGGCTTTTTTCTTTTTGCTTATGTGGTGCTGAGGAATCGAACCCAGGGCCTCATGCATGCAAGGCAAGTGCTCTACCACTGAGCCACCTTCCCAGCCCCTAAACTTTAGTTGTTTTTTGTTTTTGTTTTTTGGTTGGTTGTGGGGCTTGAACTCTGGGCTTGGGCGATGTCCCTCAGCTCTTCAGCTCAAGGCGAGCGCTCTACCGCTTGAGCCACAGCACCACTTCCTGCCAGAGCATTTTCTATGTGTGATACCCCATATTTGTTACTCCTTTCCTATGTTACTCCGGGGAGGTAGTATCAGTACTTCATAGAGAGAGAAACAGGCTCAGAGAGCTCAGAGAACTTGCTCACAAAGTGGTTGCTAAATTCCAACCATCTGAGTGTGTCCTGGGTTCTTGGGAGCTGTGGTCTAGACACCTTGGTCGTAAACACAAAAACCAAAGAAAACTGATTTCCAGCCACAGCCATTTCTGGTAGAGGAGATCCAGGCTTCTATGTTTAACACAAAACAAGTCTCTCAAGCCAGTTAATCAGTCAAAGTTTGAGACTATCTTCAGGGAACACCTGCCCTGGGAAATGTTGTCTGTGTGTCTTCTGCAGGAAGGGTATTCAGATGTTCTTAGCAATTGTTCTCAGATTTGCTCATCAGCTTTATCAAAGTTTGGGATCCTCAAGTGATTTAACTTGATCATTTCATGTGTGTACTTGTGACTGTGTATGTGTGTGTGTGTGTGCGCATGCATGTGCACGCATGTGTACCTTCTACGAATAGTTCATATCTGAAGGTACTTGGAGATCTGTTCATTTCTTCTAGTTGTATGGCGTTCTTGGTAGACTGGAGACATTCTTTCCTATGTATGGTTTTGGCACAGCTAGAGGGGCTGTCGAGATTATAGGCGTGACCCATCACATCTGCCCTGTTCTTAACTTCTTGTCCAGACTGGCCTTGAACTGGGATCCTCCCAATATCTGTCTTGCAAGTAGCCAGGATTACAAACGTGAGGCACTGCCTCCTGTATATTTTCTGACCTTTTAAGAGAATCTTGAGTTTCCACAGGAAAGCTCCCAATTTGAAAAGAATTGTAGAATTGCTAGAACTGTAAGGAACAGATAAATGATTCTAAGGGTAAACAGAACCCAGAGGAGGGCCCGCTGGGGCCTGGCTGCTGGTTTTCATTGCCTGGTCCTCCTTTCGAGTCCATTGTGGAGGTGGGTGTGAGATCCGAGTGTTTCATAAATATGCACGTGTATTGCAGACCAAGTGTGAGGAGTACTGGCCGTCCAAGCAGGCCCAGGACTATGGGGACATCACTGTGACGATGACCACAGAAGTTGTTCTTCCAGAATGGACCATCAGAGATTTCACTGTGAAAAATGTAAGTGAAGAGCACGAAGATGGTGGATCTTAGGCAAGGACTGGCTGTCAGCTTGGGAGTGACATGTCTAAGCAGAGAATAACTAATAATCTTCCATGCACCCAAAGCATCTTTATGGAGTTAACAATTCAGTATGAACGGAGAATCTAAGGTGGCCTCTTAGCTTGACTCCCTTGAGGGAACTGTTCTAAGGCATTTCTGAATAAGATGCATCTGAAGAGCAGGGCTTGGCAGCAGTGCCCTTTTCCTTTCCTTCTACTTGCAGGTGACTTGCTCATAGAGTTTTGTCACCATCTGAGGCTGTTGGACTAAGGGAGTGGGAGAGAGCTGCGTAACCTGATTTCAGGGCGTCTCCAGTCCCCTCCAAAGTCTGCCTTACACTATGAAGGCATTCTGAGATGGGAAGTCCAGTTCATGTATCAGGGTGGTTTGCTTTTTTTTCCCCCCTGGTGTGGGTCCTTGGGCTTGAACTCAGGGCCCAGGCACTGAGCTGCTTTTGCACAAGGCTGGCACTCTACTACTGGAACCACTTCTAGCTTTTTGTTTTGGTAGTTAGAGTCTCATGGACTTACCTGCCTTGTCTTGCTTTGAACTGCAATCCTCTCATTTCAGCCTCCTGAGTAGCTAGGATTACAGGTGTGAGCCACTGGTGCCTGGCTCAGCTTTGTTTTTAACAGAGGCGAAGCTCGGAAGCCATGCCCATATCTAGCTTCTGGAGTGTAACTAAACCGTGACTTATTTGCGCCCCGTATCATTGCTTCAGCTGGCATGTAGACCATGTGTGCAGTCTCTCCTCCCTGGGTCCCATGTCTGTGGACTCAGTCACCCTGAGATTGAAAATATTCCAAACAAATACTGTGTCGGTATTGAACACGGTCTAGCTTCTTTTTCTGGTCATAGTTTCCTTAGTGATAGAGCACAGCAGCTGCTCTCATAGATTGGACATTCTATTAGCTGTTGTGAGTAACTTAGAGATGGTTTAAAGTGTAGGCATGAGATGATTAGTGATGGGGACATACAAGAATGTCCTGTGAACAATGTGGAGTTCTTACACAGGCTTAGGAGCAGTCCTCCCCTTCCCCACCCCCACCCCCCACCCCCCGCTTTCTAGTATATGCTGGCATATATGTGCCTGTCACTGACTGCCGCATCCTGTGGCAAATACCAATTTACTCAGGGGACCTGGACATCCACAGATTTGTATATCTGGTGGGTGCTGGAGCTATTCTTCTTAGGCAGTGAGGGGTGACTGTATGTAGTAGCCATGAGGAAATGTTAGGGTATAACCTTGGTGAGTCAAACAAACTTACTGGGAGACAATGTCTTACGCACATTTATTAATAGTGCATAAAAGAGCTGGGTGAAGTCATTCACCCCATCATCCTAGCTACTTAGGAGGCTGTTATTATCTGGAAGTCATCAGCCAGGTTTGAATCTAGCCAGGGCAGAAAAGTCTGTCTCCAAAATAACCAGAAAAAGCTGGGATGGATGTGTGGCTCAAGTGGTAGAGCATCAGCTGAGCAAGCAAACTGGGCAAATGTGAGGACCTGACTTCAAACAAACAAAAAATAGTCCATTAAAAAAAAAAAAGCCTGGAAATAGATCCAGTGGTCTTGATGCTTCTGTTAAGCTATTTTGGTTTGGTTTAGCTGGGTCTATGAAGTATTCAGGAGGTACAGGGTTGAGGGTTCAAGACCATTACTGGCTTGGAACTTGGGAAGGAAAGGGATCTGAACTCAAAATCCAAGCCTGGGTATACATCTGGAGTATCGGGGAAGTCATCCCATATGTCTCTGAACCTCCACTCCTGTGTCCTTGAAGGGGATGTCAAACCCTCTTTCCCAGACTGGTAATGAGGATTTGTGAACAAGGTGGGGTGTGTGCAAACACTGCAGAGCTTCTGTGCACCTGTAAAGTATTCTGATTTCTAGCTGTAGACAAGTGCCCGGTACAGCTGCTGTGCAAACCAGTGTGGGGGTACTCAAAAAAATGAACAGTAGAACCACCAAGTGACCCCTGATCCCATGGTGGGTGTAACTCTGGAGGAATGTCAGTCAACCTGTGCTCATGTCTGCACTGGTCACAATAGCCGGACGGTGGAGCTACCTGGGTGTCCATCGGCTGATGAGTGGGTGGAGAAAATGTGGCTTATTCACCATGGAGTCTTACTTAGCCATGAAGAAGAAAGGAATGACGCTGTTTGCTGGATGGTCGAAACGCATGTGAAGCAATATAAGCTAGGCTGAGGAAGACACATGACTCATATCCTCTTGCCCTTAGAGCCTGGACCTAAAAACCCGAATGAGCTGAGTGTAAAAGAAGGGGTGCGGAACTGTTTGGGCGTGGGAACCAGTGGAAGGGAAGAGGGTGAAAGGAGATGATGATGGGGAAATTGAATGACGAAATATGTACAAAGCGGTGTGGTCTTTAGAAGGTGGGGAGCAGGGAATGAGAAAGAGTGCTAGCGTGCTAGTGATGCGCATGTAAGGGAACATCACAGCGAAACCCCTTTGTACCGCTGACATATGCTAATACCGGCAGTGAGGAGTTTTCTGTGTCTTTGCCTGTCTCCTCCCCACCCCAGTGCTCCATTTCCCTCACCTTTGGGGTGCTGAGGTGCCCGTGTCTCTAATCTTACCCCTCCCTTTGCTTCTAGATCCAGACAAGTGAGACCCACCTTCTGCGCCAGTTCCATTTCACCTCCTGGCCGGACCATGGTGTTCCAGATACCACTGACCTGCTCATCACCTTCCGCTACCTGGTCCGAGACTACATGAAGCAGAGTCCCCCGGAGTCCCCCATTCTGGTGCACTGCAGGTATGTGGTTGGCAAGTTGCCTGTGTGAGTGCGCGTGTAACAATTTTGGATATGTTGATTATTTACATGTCATCAAAGGCAATGCAGTAGCCCTTTGGAGCATCAAGAAAGGTTTGCATAGGAGATCACACGCCAAGCCCTATGCCCCAAGATTCTACAGCAGGAGTTGGCAAACTAGAGCCTGTGGACCAAATTGGGTCAGCTGCTTGTTTTTGTAGATAGACTCTCCTTCAAACTTAGCCATACCCACTTGTGTTTATTATTTATACTGTATGCTATTGCCTTTTTTGATGTTAGTAGTCGGGTTTGAATTCAGAGCCTCGGACTTCCCCTTCACTTTTTTTGTTCATGACTCATGCTCTATCACTTGAGCCAAGGCTCCACTTTCAGCTTTTTGGTGGTTCGTTGGAGATAAGAATCTCATGGGCTTCCATAGTAATCAGAACAGCTTGGTACTGGCACAAGAACAGACCTGAGTCATCAGAACAGCTTGGTACTGCCACAAGAACAGATCTGAGGACCAATGGAATAGAACTGAAGACCCAGAAATGAACCCACAGACCTATAGCTACCTAATCTTCAATAAGGGAGCCAAAAAAATAAAATGTAACAAAGAGAGCCTCTTCAGTAAATGGTGCTGGCAAAATTGGTTAAACACCTGAACAAAACTAAAGCTAGATCCTTATATAGCACCCTGAACCAGAATCAACTCCAAATGGATCAAAGACCTCGAAGTCAAAGCAGACACCCTTAAAACATTACAGGAAAGACTAGGAGAAACTTTAGGGCTGTTTGGCACAGGCAGAAATTTTCTTAATAAAGGCCCTGAAACACAACAAATCAAAGAAAGATTGGACAAATGGGATTGCATGAAACTGCAGAGCTTTTGCATGGCAAAGGACATAGCTAGCAAAATCAATAGAAAAGCCCATGCATTGGGAGAAGATCTTCACTAGCCATACAATGGACAAGGGTCTCATATCTAAAATATACTTAGAACTCAAAAAATTAAATCCCCCAACAACAGATCCTCAAAGAAACAATTGCCTGATTAATAAATGGGCTAAAGATTTAAAGAGAGATTAAAGGAAAAGTCTGTGAGACTTTTTTTTTTTGGTTGGTCCTGGGACTTGAACTCTGGGCCTGGGAGCTGTCCCTCAGCTCTTCAACTCAAGGCTAGTGCTCTACCAGTTGAGCCACAGCACCACTTCCTGTTTTCTAGTGGGGTATTGGAGATAAGAGTCTCACAGACTTTGCTGCCCCGGCTGGCTTTGTACTGTGATCCTCAGATCTCAGCCTCCTGAGTACTAGGATTATAGGTGTGAGCCACAGTGCCCAGCCCTGTTGAGACTTTTATCTTGAATAAACCTCTCAGAAAACCAGAAGTGGCGCTGTGGCTCAAGTGGTAGAGTGCTAGCCTTGAGCTGAAGATCTGAGGGACAGTACCCAGGTCCAGAGTTCAAGCCCCATGACCGACAAAAACACCACCAACAGCAACAAACAAAAAAACATTGAGATTCTACCTCTTCCCAGTTAGAAAAGCTATAATCAAGAAATCTAATAATGACAGATGCTGGAGGGGATGTGGTCAAAAGGGAACCCTACTGCATTGTTGGTGGGAGTGTAAACCTGTTCAACTGCTTTGGAAAGCAATAGGGAGGTTCCTCAAAAGACTCCACGTAGAGCTTCCCTATGACCCAGCAATCCCACTTTTGGGCATTAACCCAAATGATCACAAACAAAACCATACTAAAGCTAGCAGTACTACTATGTTTATTGCAGCATTATTTATGATAGCTAAGAAATGGAACCAACCTAGATGCCCCTCAGTAGAAGACTGGATCAAGAAAATGTGATATATGTACACAATGGAATTGTATGCCTCCATCAGAAAGAATGACATTGCCCCATTTGTTAGGAAATTGAAAGACTTGGAAAAAATTACATTAAGTGAAGTAAGCCAGACCCAAAGAAACATAGGTCCCATAGTTTCCTTTATTTGCAATAACTAGTAAATGGCTAGGACAAGCAGAAAAGGTAAAAAAACTATGTACATATGACCATATAAGATGATTCTAAGTGAAATGATCCCCAAGATAGGGACACAAGTGTTTTTATCTTTCTTGCTGTTGTTTTTAATGTATCTATAATGTACCATGTGATTTTTTTTGTTTCTTTTGTATGTTCTTCCCCCATGGTATAACATACCCTGTTTTCATTGTATTTGATGTCGGTGCCCTGCATCTTGTGTATACATTTTTCTAATTTGGGGAGGGGAAAGGAAATAACAGAAAGCTGAAATAGGGATCCAAGTTGACCTATTGTAACAATGAGATGTACAATACACTATGTTGAAAACGAACTTTACAACTTGTGGGGGAGGGAGGAGTTGGGGAGGTGGGGAGGGAAGGGATTGTAGGGGAAAAACAAAGGAGGAGGTAACAATGCTTGATAGGAAATGGACTCATACCTTACTCATGTAACTGTAACTCCTTTGTACAGTACTTTTTTTGTGTGTGTGAAAATACCGTACAGAGGGGTTACAATTACATGAGTAAGGTAATGAGTGCATTTCTTATCAAGCATTATTGCCTCCTCCTTTGTTTCCCCTTACCATCCCTTCCTATGCCCCCTCCCTCCCTTCCTCCTCCACCCTGCCCAAAGATGGAAAGTTTGTTTTTCAACATAACGTCTTGTACATCTCATTGTTGCACTTGTATCCCTATTTAAACAATTTGTTTTTTTCCTTCCCCTCTACAAATTATACCAACATCAAATACAGTGAAAACAGGAATATGTCTGAGACAAGCAGAAACGGTCAGATAAGTTGATGTTAGGTGAAATGAACCCCAAGATAAGGATTCAAATGTTTTTTCTTTCTTGTGATTGTTTCTAACATATTTATAAGATATTTCTTTGTTGCTTTGTATGTCCCTCCCCCACAGTATAACCCTTGTTTTCTGTACAGTATTTTTAACATACAAAATATATACAAAAAAAAAAAGGAAAAGAATCTCATGGGCTTTTCTGCCTGGGCTAGTTTTGAACTCGATCCTCAGAACTCAGCCTCCTGAATAGCTAGGCTTACAGGTGTGCACTACCTCACCCAGCATTTTTATACACTATTAATATGCATAAAATATTGTCTGCTGATACATTTGTGTCACCAACATTATGTTGTGTCATCTCCTTTCCTCATGGCTACTACACAGCGTTAACCCTCAGTAGCCATTGGTGCTGCTAAACCCATTGCTGCTGCCTTTATGCTGCAGGGGTCTGGTCAGCCAAGCTGGACATAAAGCCTGTGTCTAGTCCTTACTCTACAACTGTGGAGGAAACTGGTTTTGTGCAGAATACAGGAGAGGCGTAGTTGCTATGAGGACGGAAATGATGACACTGGACCAGGAAGTCCTTTAGTGTAAGAAGCGCTGGCTCCACGCCAGCGCAGCTGTGCTTACTGAAATTTGAGCCAAGTAGGTGTCTGCAGATGCTGGCTGTTGGAGCTGGTGGAGAAGTGCAGGTGTAGGGACCAGTGGGGGAGTCCGAGAGGTCCAGGGTGGAGGCCACTGTGGTGATATACTTGTTTCTCTTTCTTCCAGTGCCGGAGTGGGAAGGACGGGCACTTTCATGGCCATCGATCGCCTCATCTATCAGATAGAGAATGAGAACACGGTGGATGTGTACGGGATTGTGTATGATCTCCGCATGCACAGACCTCTGATGGTGCAGACAGAGGTGAGCCCGCCAGGGGGGTTGGGTTTGACACTCCCACTGGAAGGCAGGAGTGCCTGCTTCTGAAAGCTTTCATGGGGTGGTGGCATCCCTGGGTTAAAACATTCCACCTGTCCAGGTCGCTCTGGCAGTGGCTGTGAGGTAACACTGGATCTTCACAGATCCTGGATGGAGTTGGAGTGCAGTGGCCTGGCGGGCAGAGGCTGCAGCACCAGGAGCTGATGTACCTGGCTGTCTCAGACTTGCCCAGTCAGCTTCAAACATCTCTGAACTTTGGTTTCCAGGTTATAAGCTCATAAAATTGGTGTTTTTCCCCTCTTGGATTTTTGTGAAGGTCTCACCATCTTTATTCCTCTACTTTTAATTTTTTTATTTAAAGTTTTTGGCAAGTTTGAGCTTAGGGCCTGCTGCGTGCTAGGCAGGCCCAGGATTTCAGCCACTCACAGAGTCCTGTCCACACCCTTTAGTTATTATTATTTTTTTTTAAATTAGGGTCTTTGCCTGTCACTGGCCTCAGGCGATCATCTTTTCCTTCTGGTCTATCACAAAAATAGGATTACAGATGTGAGCCTCCAGGCCCATCTTGTTTGTTGGGCTGTGGGAATCTCACTATCTTTATGCTTGAACGGGCCTCAAATTGCAGTCCTCCTCATCTCTACCTCTGGAGGGAGTTGGGATTACAGGTGTAAGCCACCATACGGGGCTCTGGTTCGACCATCTTTAAAGAAGCTAACGAAATAGACATTAGCCAATGGCATCATGCTGCTTCAATCATTTATCCAGCCTGTTGATGGCTGGTAGATGGAGAAGATGCCTGTATGGTACAGTGTGATATGTGTGAGACTGTTGGATTTGTCTTCCTGGAAGTATTTTCCAAATATGCTGAGCAGTAGCTTCCATACCAGGATGAAGGCAGAATGCTGATTTTGTATCAGGCAGTTGCCCTGCCCAGTTCATAGCTTCTGAGTAGGTGCTGTGTTGTTTCATTGTCAGGGAGTGTTGTTGAGGTTTGGGTACATTGTGTGTTGTGGGAGGGGGTGTAAACTGTTGGTTTGATACAGAGGGATGGTTAGAGGAGAGAGGCTCATTTCTCTGCGGTGACTGCCCAGAATAGCAGGCTCGCCATCTTTTCTGCTCTCAGAGAAACAGCCTGCAATGTTTTTCTCATCTCTTGCTTGATACCTTGAAGGCAATCCTTTGTCATGTTAAAGTTTTGATACAGGACTACACAGAATGTATTTTTTTTCTCTTTTATTTTTTTCTTCTTGAATTCCTCTTCCTGAGGTAGTTGGCATATGTCATTGGGAACACGTTTGTGTATATCTGCAGACATGCATGCATGCACTTATGCAGAACATTTTGGAAAGAAAAAGGGGATTCTGGTTCACATGTAAGGTGAATGTAGGAAGTTGTTTTTCTTACAACACAAAGTTACATATTTGTATCTGTACCCACTCTCTCTCTAATATTATATACATATATATTACTCTCTCTCTCTCTATATATATATGTAGCACTGGGGTTTGAACTCTGGATTTCATGCTTGCTAGGTAGGTTGGTGGTATACCATCTGAGCCATGCTCCCAGCATTTCTTGCTTTCTTTATTTTTCAAATAAGGTCTCAAGTATATGCCCGGGCCTGTCTGCACTGCCATCCTTCTCTTTATAATTCCTGAATAGCTAGGACAACAGGTGTGTGACACCATGCCTGGCTTTTTATTGGCTGAAATGGGAGGGGGGGGTCTCATGACTCTCTCTCCCCACCCCTTGGCCTCCAGTTGTGATCCTTTGGATCTCTGCCTCCCATGTAACTAGGTGTGAGCTCCTTCTTGTTTTTTAAATAATTACCTGCTGATTTTCCTGCCTGAATCTCCTCTGAGGAAAAATACAGTTTACTCTTTGCTCCTCCTAGGTCAAGAAAATCATGCTGGGATATTTTACCATCTGAACATTTTGTGCATTATATTCCTCTAGACCTTTCTTCTTCCTTCCCCAAGATGCTGCTGTGTCCTTGAGAGGGAAAGTGAGCTGGTGTGCCTCAGGTTGAGGTTCACTGAGGAAGAAATCCTCTGTGGGATTCCAGATTCCACCAGAATGTTTTTCACCTCTGTGAACTTTGCTGTTTGCTGGTTGGGCACCTGGAGTTTGAATGGTGGTACTGGCGCTGAGTTTAAAATGACTTTGCCTGCGCATGCTTGGGACCTGTGCCTATATACTCTCTCTTTTTCTCTTTCTTACCAGGACCAGTATGTTTTCCTCAACCAGTGTGTTTTGGACATCATCAGAGCCCAGAAAGACTCAAAGGTGGATCTCATCTACCAGAACACCACAGCGATGACAATCTATGAAAACCTGGAGCCTGTGAGCATGTTTGGAAAGACAAATGGCTACATCGCGTAGCAGTCCTGCCTCTTCCGGGAGTGAGGCAGCCCGTCACCCCCACCGCGAGGGAAACGCCCGTGCCCACGAGTCTCCTGTCTCCAATCTTAGTCCTTTGTTCTGTTCTGTTAGAACCATCTTCCAGCGAGTGTGTTAAGCCGTGGAGGTGGAGGAGTCGGGGCTGCCAGGGTTCGTGTGTGGGCGTGGATGGATCGGCTGTAATTCTGCCCACCAGTGGGATGAGTTCACTTCTCTCCCTCTCCCCTTGAAAATTGTGGAAAACCAGGAAAAGTGAGCTCTAGGATTTTCCTTCTTTTTCTTTTTTCCCCCCTTTCTTCAAAATTGTTTTTCCTTTCTTCTTCTTCTTCTTCTTTTTTTTTAAGACTATTTTCTATGATTCACATGCTAAAGCCAGGATTGTGTTGTGTTTTGGATCTATTTGAAGTATCAGAGGCCTATTTTTACCTACTGTATCTTGGAATCTCACTGCCTGAAAATACTGCATCGTGGGTGGGTGGATGTTGTGTAGGGAGGGGCACTCGCGGAGCCCCCTTCTGCACGGGTTTTCTATTTGAACATGTGCCTTTTTCTGAATAATGCTTCCACAGGCAAAACTCAGTAGATATCTCTATTTTTGTATCGAATCTCGTAATTGGAATATATGGGATATTTAAACAGTAGTTTAGCATCAGAGGTCTGCCTGCTGGTCACATTCCAGCCTCCCATTTGATTAGAGGAGGCCTCTCTCTCTCTTTCTCTCTCTCTCTCTTTCTCTTTCTCTCTGCCCACTCTGCCACCTTCTCCCACCTCCATGTAACACTTTTCTTCCCTTCCCCTTCTCCTACTTTTCTCCAAAGACTTCTGTTTTGTAACTTATGTTCCCCCCCAGCCCTTTGGTTGGGTGAGAATTTCTGTAGGGGGTCGGGGTTGGAGGGAAAGGGAGAAACAGGAACAGAAGGAGTTCATGGTGACATCGAGGCTTCTGCCTCTCTCTTTCTCTTTCTCATTTTTTTTCGTTGCCCTCCCCCCTTTTTCTCATTGCTGTTTTTGGTAAGAAGGATTATTTAAAGGTGCAATATGTGACTTAGTGATTCACGATGCTCTGTGTTTTTAGTCATGTTTTACTCAGGTTGGCGTTTTCTGTGTGTATGTGTGTGTCATGTGTACACTGTGTGCGTGCGTGCGTGCGTGCGTGTGTTTTAAAAAAGCGTGGCAATCTGTGAACATTCCAGTGGTGAGCTCAGTGTCACACTAACCCTACCCCTCCGAAGTCCACTGGCTTTCTTCTCTCTGCAGTGACACTTAACCGCCTGCCATCTACTGTACATAGAAATACTAAACTCTCACCACAGTTGTTCTGATAAGTTGAGGTGTACAAAGTTCGATTTGTATCAAAGATGTAATTAATTATTTTTAAAACCTTTTCACTATACTGCTGCTGTAATTACTATGATTTTTTTTTACAAAAGAAATATGTAGATTAAACAAAAAAGTTTTTTTTTTTTTTTTGCTTTGGGTGGTGTAGTCACCAAGCATTTAGAATTTATGTGGATTTTATTTTATTGGTACATAACCTGTAAACTTCTCAAGGCATTAACACGAAAGGATTTGTTTCTCGTTATATTGTGGCTCAGGTTATATTTTTGAAGGTTTGAGTTTCTTCTCCCATGGACAATGAAGTATATCCAAGGGCTTATGAAGGAATCCCCTGGGGATGACAGAGACGTGGCTGTTTCTTGCAGTCACCCATCCTTCTGGAGACATCAGGACTGCGGGCCTGTCCTGTGAGACATGGAAGCGCGGGTCGTTAGACGTGGAAGCTTGGGCCGGCTGCCACTGCCACTGTAGTCGGGAGGGAGTGGTCTCCGGACGGCTGCTCGCTGGCACTTTGATGACTGGGTGTGTTAATGGCTAGCTTAGGGAGAGGGGGGTGGGGCAGCCATGGTGGGCTTTCACAGCCCTGGATGTGGTTTGGAGAGGCAGAGCTGCGGGCCCCCCCTTCCCTGTGAGGTACTGAAGGGATGCAGAGGAAAGGTCCCGTGGTGTCCTGTGTTGGGGAGAATTTTACGTCTCAAATGGAAATTGCACTTTTTTGTTGATTTTTTTTTTCCCATGCTTGGGTAGGAAGAAGTTTTCCCGGCTCTTCAATGAGGATGGGTGGCCAGGCTGGGCGCCCCGCCTCCGCTCTCTCTCTTTGTGTGTGTGTGAGTGTGAGTGTACGGGGGAAGGGAGTCGCTGGCTTTGCAGGTGGGACTCAGGGAAGCCGTGCAGGACCCTGGCTGTGGGCGATGGCTTCTGCACCTTCACCACATGGGTCTGCGGTGAATGCAGGCCGACCTCAGGGGGAGGGCACAGCAGGGTGCAGAGGCCCCCGGCCCCCCTCTCCCCCACTCCAGTGTGTCAGAAAGCACGGTGACCACTGCCTGTGTTCCGTCCCACGGGGGTCTCCTCAGCCCCACTGCCAGGCAGAAATCAGAGAAAACAACCTGCTCCTAAAAAGAGTCCTTGAAAAGATTAAAGCAAAAATATGCATACTGTAATTTAAAAAATGCAAAGCACAGGCGCCCCCCCCCCCCACCGCCCCTGCCTGATCGGGGCTTGGGCAGCTGTCCAGAAACATGGAGCTCTGTGGCATTTCCAAACCCAAGAGCAAGGCTGGTGTGGAGAGGCCTGGAATGCCCAGTGGACAGTCAGGCCAGCCCCACGCGCGCTCGTGGGGGGTCTGGGCTGGGGTGAGGGGGACACAGATGTGGCGAGGGACGCGGAGTGTGTACGTAGGGGGGACTCCTAAGGCTGGAGCGGGCGGGAGACAGAGGACAGATGTTTCTGAGGGGCGTCCCAGCCCTCGGGAAGAATGAACTGGAACAGGAAGGGTGCAGGGCAGCGGTGGGTGGTAGAAAGCCTGGCTAGCAGTGTCAGAAGCTATACGCAGCCCATGGAGAGTTTTCTGTCAGGGAAAGAGGTAAAGACCATGGCCCGCTAGCTTAGGGATGTAGGACATCCAGCTCTCTTCTCAAGAACAAAAACGCCCTTCCCTCCCCGGTGGAGGAACTGGCATTTGGTGTCAGTACTCCCACAGACACATTGCCACCTCCAGCTAGACTCTGGCAAACCCAGCCCCGTGGGGTGTGTGCTTTATCAAGCTGGGGGCTCTGGGTGGGGAGGGCTGGGCGGGGGATGGGGTGGACGCCACAGCTGATTGCTCTTGGGTTCTCACTGGAGATGGACAAAGCTGAGGTTCTTTTGAAATGATGGATCGCGACACTGGCTGAGCTTCAACAAGAGGTGGGTTTGCTTCCAAAGTCCCAAGTCCCGAGTTTTCAGACTACTGTGTAACAGTGTTGTGTGTGACATGCTCTGCGCTTTCTTCTCTCCCGGGGGCACATAGGAATAGGCTGTGTTGACATGGACTCGAAACTGTAATTTTCTTGTAACTATTTTGGAATGATGCATATTTCTAATGTTTGTGATACTTGTACAGAGCATTGCTGTTGTTGCTTTTTTTTTTTAAGGAAAACAATGGCCTGAAAAAATTTTTTTAAACTTACAAATACCAAATATTAAAAAAATGTCAACACATGCCACCTCGTTTTCTTTCTTTCCTTTGTAAAAACAGTTTCCCTTGGGTTTTCCACGGTGTTCTCGAGCAATCATCCCATATACTACAGACTGGATAGTTCACACACACGTGCACACACACACACACACACACACACACACACACACCTGAAAATCCTGGCATGTCGAGGTGAGGGTGAAGGTGTAGCCAGGCCTCTCCCCTTCGCTGGCTTTCTCCTTGTGGCCTCCCACAGTCTTCCTTCTGCAGCGTGTGGGTATGCATGTGAGGGTGTGTGCGCGCATGCATGTGTGTGTGTGTGTGTTGCATCTTTTCTTGCAAGGACTTCACTCACCCTAGATTAGGGGCCTTCCATGACCTCATTTCTAAATCTAGTCATACTCTGAGACACTGAGGTGAGGACTCCAGGGGGTCTTTGGGGGACACAACCATCATACATCCCGGTGGAAGGGAAGACTTGGAAGACCTCGCTGGCTGTGTGGGGTGTGGATCTGACTTGGTACCGGCATGTGTGCACACCTGGGGTTACTGGAAGAATTCTGGCTGAGGGGTTTGGAGGAAATCTCAGAATAGGTTCATTTGGGTAGTCCTTAAATTTCATCTTTGTGCCTTGCAGCAAACTATGCCTCAGACTCCTCATCCTCCGGCCTCGGCTTCCCAAGTGCTAGGGTTATAGGCAGGGACCACACTACCCAACTAAAATGGTTTTGTTTCTTAATGCAGGCAAATGCGGACAGAAGCATTTTTTGTCTGTAAGATTAAAAGAAATTTTCCTTGTACCTCGATTCCCTAAGGCAGTAGTGAAGACTTGATTCTGACCAGCCGTTCGGGCCTGCTTAGTGACAGCACTTTGCTGATGGAGGAGGCCGTGTGGAGGCTCCTTCTGCTGTACCAGGCCCTGCTGGGGTGTGGAGGCCGGAGAATGAGCAACACATTCAGACGCTCTCTGAACTGTTGCTTTTACAAAACCAGGAGGAACTGGTTGGGCTTTCACAACTCACTTTGGGGCCGAATGTTGGGAGATCTTTGTGGGAACACATGAAATTCTGGGGCTTTGCAGGAAATCCTGCAGGCGGGTGAGAAAGCTGTGACTTGAAAGTTGAGCTGCACACAGGGGTGATGTTGATCAAGATGCATTGTACTCACGAACCAGTTTGTTGAATGGTAACATTTTGGGGTACAACTCCTTAATTATAAAATAATTCGAAAAGTTGAGCTGCCATATCCTGTTGCCAGCAGTTTCGGATGCTGCCCCTAGATGGCGCAGGAGGACTGCATGGCGGGGGAAGCAAGAGGCGGAGAGAGAAAAGAATCAGGATGTGGATAAAAACAGCCCCTAAAGTCAACAGCAGGCCAAGAATGTACTTGTTGGCAACTGGTAGATTTGTCTTTGTGAATTGTTTGGTATGTTCATGCTAAAATATGGAAAATTCAAAAAGGGGAAAAAAATCTTAACATCACTTGGAGCCAATAATACGCACCCTCAGGGATTCTCTCTCCTCGGGAAAGCCTGATGGGTATGCAATGCTCAGATATAGCCACAAGAGGGAGCACGAGAGCAGCTTTTCAACCCCACCTTCCAGGCCTTCAGCCCTACCTTTTAGGCCTTCAGGGGGCTACAGCTTAGACAGAAGCTTACAAACTCTGTCTGCCTGATGCGGTAAATGTTTGCTGTTTCTTGTGGCTATGTTTTGGAATAATTTGTCCTACAGCAAGTAATAACTACGACAGACAGACAATACCAATGTTGACTGTGATTTAAATAGTGTGATTTAAATAATTCCAGAAGCTTCCAGTGCTCATATTCATTCTCATTCTCTTTGCATATGCATACCCATATATACCATGTATGCACACATTATTCATATAAAAGTGTAAGTATATAAATAGCATTTATATGTGCATATAACAACCATTAGCATTTATGCATATAGCAATATGTATGTATATATATATATATTGTTACAGAGGGGTTACAGTTACATATGTCAGCTAGTGAGATGAATGCATTTCTTTTTGGACAGTGTCACGTCTTCCTTCACTCCTTCCCAGTTTTTCCCTCCAGTCCCCTCCCACAGTTCTGGGGCTTGAACTCAGAGCTTGGGCACTGTACCTGAGCCTTTTTTGCTCAAGGTTAGTGCTCAACCCCTTGAGCCACAGCTCTGCTTCTGGCTTTTTGGTAGTTAATTGGAAATAAGAGTCTCATGGACTTTTCTGCGCAGGCTGTCTTCGAACCACGATCCTCATACCTCACCCTTCTGTGTAGCTCAGATTACAGGTACAAGCCAACTTGTGCCTAGCTTAACATGTATCTTTGAGTAAGGTTTCTATTGAAGCATGATGCATACAGAAAACATGTGCCATGCATAGATTGTTAGTCTGAAGTGTTTCCACACAATGAGCTTCCTCATGTACCCAGCATTCAGACTGACTCTAGCAGCCCCAGCACGCCCCCTCCAGGAACAGCATGGTACAGCTACTCACTATCCTGGCTGTCAGCATCCTA